GGCTTCCCCACCAACAGGATGTCAGTGGCTTCCCCAACACCTAAACAGACAGTCGACCCAACTTCCTGGTTAGACAAAATGCATAAACGTTTCATCCAGTAGGGTAACATAGTCTTTAATATCAATATAATATTCAATCGAACAGGATGTCAGTGGCTTCCATAAACAGACAGTTTTAGCTCCAGTAGGTAACAGCGAGTCAATTAATATCATGAAGATGCATAAACGTTTCATCCAGTAGGGTAACATTATCAATAAGGGACATCTTGAAGGTTCAGAATCGTACCCAACAGGATGTCAGTGGCTTCCCCAACACCTAAACAGACAGTCGACCCAGCTTCGGTTAGGAAGTGCACAGCGAGACAATATAATATCATGAAGATTAAACGTTTCATCCAGTAGGGTAACATAGTTTTAATATCAATAAAATGGACATCTTGAAGGTAACCTCATGGCCACAAGGTTCAGAATCAATAAACAGGATGTCTTTCCCCAACACCTAAACAGACAGTCGACCCAGCTTCGGTTAGGAAGTGCACAGCGAGACAATATAATATCATGAAGATGCATAAACGTTTCATCCAGTAGGGTAACATAGTCTTTAATATCAATAAGGGACATCTTGAAGGTAACCTCATACAAGGTTCATTCGTACCCAACAGGATGTCAGTGGCTTCCCCAACACCTAAACAGACAGTCGACACTCCCAGTTAGGAAGTGCACAGCGAGACAATATAATATCATGAAGATGCATAAACGTTTCATCCAGTAGGGTAACATAGTCTTTAATATCAATTCTCTTGAAGGTAACCTTGGCCACAAGGTTCAGAATCGTACCCAACAGGATGTCAGTGCCCCAACACCTAAACAGACAGTCGACCCAACATTATATCAAGAAAGCATAAACGTTTCATCAATATAATATCTTTAATAGATGCATCTTGAAGGTTTCATCCATTTACTTTACATCGACCCAGCTCCGGTTAATTTATAAATCATTTTTCATCCAGTAAAGGTAACATAGTCTTTAATTCAAATCTTGAAGGTAACCTCATGGCCAAACAGGATGTCAGGATGTCAGTGGCTTCCCCAACACCTAAACAGACAGTCGACCCAGCTTTAGGAAGTGCACAGCGAGACAATATAATATCATCCATAAACGAGACAATATAATATCATGAAGGTAATGCATAAACGTTTTCATCCAAAAGTTTATAAATTTTGAAGGTAACCTCATGGCCACAAGGTTCAGAATCGTACCCAACAGGATGTTGGCTTCCCCAACACCTAAACAGACAGTCGACCCAGCTTGGTTAGGAAAATACAGCGAGACAATATAATATCATGAAGATGCATAAACGTTTCATCCAGTAATAACATAGTCTTTAATCAATAAGGGACATCTTGAAGGTAACCTCCAGTCAGAATCATGCCCAACAGGATGTCAGTGGCTTCCCCAACACCTTAGACAACCCAGCTTCGGTTAGAAAATGCACAGCGAGACAATATAATATTTTTAAACGTTTCATCCAGTAGGGTAACATAGTCTTTAATATCAATAAAAGGGACAAAAGGTAACCTCATGGCCACAAGGTTCAGAATCGTACCCAACAGGATGTCAGTGGCTTCCCCAACACCTAAACAGACAGTTTTAGGAAGTGCATAGCAAGACAATATAATATCATGAAGATGCATAAACAATCAGTAGGGTAACATACCAAAATAACACATAACCTCATGGCCACAAAGCATCGTAGAACAATATGGCAACCCAACACCTAAACAGACAGTCGACCCAGCTTCGGTTAGGAAGTGCACAGCGAGACAATATAATATCAGAGATGCAAAACGTTTCATCAAGGGTAACATAGTCTTTAAAAGGGACATCTTGAAGGTTTTATTCAGAACCGTACCCAACAGGATGCAATGGCTTCCAACCTAAACAGACAGTCGACCCAAGGATGCCGAGACAATATAATATCAAAGATGCATTTTCATCCAGTAGGATAACATAGTTTTAATATCAAAGATGACATTTGAAGGTAAATATCATTTGCCTCTTCAAATCGTTGTCATTTTAAACAGACAGTCGACCCATTTCTCCAGACAATATAATATCATGAAGATGCATAAACGTTTCATCCAGTTTAGTCTTTAATATCAATAAGTCTTGAAGGTAACCTCATGGCCACAAGGTTCAGAATCGTTGTCAGTGGCTTCACAAATAAACAGACAGTCGACCCAGCTTGTTGAAAATGCACAGCGAGACAATATAATATCATGAAATGCATAAACGTTTCATCCAGTAGGGTAACATAGTCTTTAATATCAATAAGGACATCTTGAAAGGTAACCTCATTCAGAATCGTACCCAACAGGATGTCAGTGGCTTGACCCAGCTCCGGTGTAGGAAGTACAGCGAGACAATATAATATCAAGAAAAAGACAATTTAATATCATGAAGATGCATAAACGTTTCATCCAGTAGGGTAAAGTGCATTTTCAATTAATTCAATAAGGGACATCTTGAATCAACCTCAAGGCCACAAGGTTCATCGTAAACAGGATGTCATTCCGACAGACAGTCCCATCTGTTTAATTTTTTTTAACATAGTTTTAATATCAACAGGAAGAGAAAAAGATTTTAAAAAATTCATTTTTTTTGTTTATTTTAACATTTAAGAGAAAAGATTTTCACTATTTTTTTTTTGTTATCAGTTTCACTTCATCTTATTATTGTTGTATTTTTATTGCGATACTCTGGCTTTATTTTGTTTTACTCCATCTCATCATTGATGGTTTTTATCCCAACATTCTGGCTTTAAATACTTTTCATTATTACGATGACTCTATTACCAGTTTCATTTCAAAATCCAGCCCAAAAAACTGATGAAGAAGGTAATTACTGTCATGACTTCTCTGTGCTGTCAGTCCAAACTAAATGTGAAAAGAAAAGAATTGGTTCCTGCAAGTGCTGGAAAATCATCAACAAGATTCTTAATAGCGGCAAACCATCTATTATATATAGCCCTGATGTTATTTCATCCTTGTTGGATAAGATTAAGCTTTTGCACTAACTATACATTAGATGACAAGGACCATCCCCTACCAGACTCTCACCCCGCTCTTGCAGTCCACACATTTTGTGATTTCTCTATCTTAGCTTGTGAAGTTTCCCAATTGAACAAAAGCTTTGACTTTACAAAAGTTAACAATCCAGATAAAATTTCAGTTATTGTTCATAAGATTCTAAGCCCAGAATTATCTCCAATTTTAGCAAAGTTGTTTAACTTTTGCTCGAAGAGGAAATGCTTCTCAGGTCTATGAAAGGTGTTATCTGTATGCCCTATTTTCAAGAATGCAGGTGAATGCTCATCCTTATTACAGTATTGCCTCATCAGTCACCTCAGTGTCATCAGCACCGAAGTCTATTAACAACAAGATTGTTGATCTCCTCAACACAAACAACTTCCTGCTCCACTGCAGATGTATTAACTGACAGTATGGATAGAATCAGTAGCACACTAACTAATAATAAATTACATTAGATATTTCAAAGGCCTTTGAAAAGTTGTGACATAGGGTGTTGCTACACAAACTCTCCAACTATGGCATCTTTAAGAGATTTTGCAATTATCAAGTCAGTTTTGTGTAGGTCCATGAAGGTTGCTGTTAATGGTCAGTCTTTTGAAGTCCATACAATCAATACAGGCATCCCTCAAGCCTCTCTTCTAAGCTCTACCCTATTTCTGCTTTATATTAAAAATCTGTCCAGGAACATTCACAGATAATTAGTAAATGTCTATGCAGATGATACTACAGTTTCTGGATGCACCTCCAAAAATCTACCTGTCCAGAGTCTACTAACTGATCTCTTCTATGCCAAACAGCTTGATGGACAAAGAACTGAATTGTACATTATTTACACTATTGTCCTCATTTATTACAATGTTTCAGCCATTGTATGCTCTGGCCTTCTTCAGGTGGTTGGAATGTCGAACTGTTTATTTTGCTCACTGGGGTAGACTGTTCTAGTTCCATGTGCCATGTTTAATGGATGTCAGTTATCAGTTATCTCCTGTTAATTTCCCTCTGAAAGTTCTCCACTGCCTTAGCCAGGTATTGAACTCACACTCTCTGGGTCCTGTGACAGATACTGAAGAACTGAATTGTTGTTTTTAATATTTCAAGGACCTATATTACTTCTTACACTATATTACTTCTTAATTACAGTATATTACTTACTTCTTACTTACAATGTGTTACTTATTTCTTACTTATAATATCTTACTTACTTCTTACTTATGCTATATTACTTCTTACACTATTATAGTATATTCTTAATTTCACTATATTACATACTTCTTACAATATATTACTTCTTAATTACAATATAATAAAAAAAAGTTTAGAACAGGTTTTTACAATTTGTCAACTCAGGTCAAATGACAGATGCTTTTATTTCCTACATGTGACTCACACCTCAGGGGTCAACTGAAGTTGACAAAAAATGCCAAAATCTGTTATTGCCCATATTGGCAAATATGTCAGCCAATATTCTAATAAATCAAATAAGGAATAATGTAGGTTTAAATTTGCATTACATCTCCTTGTTTGTTGTTTCAGTCTATGTTGCTTAAATAATGGTTAGATAAAAGACAAATTGGTCAAAAATTAAGAATCTTGGAATGATAATGACCCATCCCAAAATTACAAAAGTTACATCAAGACCTATTAAAATATATTTAGGGATTTTTAAATCAACTAAAAATCTTCAAAAATTTAAAAACTAAAAAAATATTAATAAGTTCTTTTTTTAGCATCAATTTTCATGTACAATATGCATTTTTTTTTTAAATTTTACAATAATGAATTTATTCTAGAACCAAACTCAATGAATTATTTAACTCACCTTTTTTGGGCATGAGTTCAATTGTTTCTTTTTTGACTTTTATCTCCTGTCTTGAGATTCCAGTATAAAAAGATGACATCAGTGTTACAACGACATCAATCTTCCTGACTGAGTCAGACAGAGATGTCATCTTCAGTTTTATTTCAAATCCTTCACCAACTTCTGTTGTTGTTGGAGGCTCAAATTTAAAATCCACATCTTTGACAATATCCGTTTTATAGATGTCATCGTCCGCTCGAGTACTAAACTGATTCGCAAATTTTACAACTCGTCTTTCCTCCTGACTGCCTGAAAAAAATAAAGCAGACAAAAATCAGTAAGATTTATGACATCAAGAGTTTCATATGCTGATTATATTCATGAGTAATACAACTTTTTAAAACCAACTTTGAAAGCAAGGGATTGAATAAGAATTTTTGGCTAATGGAAGTCTATGCACAATCAAAGGCTAGAAGCAGCAATTAACTTCAGCAATTAACTTCAGTAATTAGTACTAAGAGCTGTTACTAATTTATAACTGCAGCAATTATGACCAAGAACTGTTGCTAATTAGTAACTAGCAAACAGAACCAGCAGAGAGTCTGGCACAATGCTACAAGAGTCAAACACTGTCAAGTCTTGAACTTACTAAACTAACAAATAATCTAACATGGCTACCTTCTTAACTATTGCTGCGTGCAGGCACTATAAAAAAAAACTTAGGAATTTTGCTGGTGTTTACTAAGTTTCATTTAGTACAGCACAGGGTAAAAAGTGTAATCATCTGGGGTGGACTGAACTCACTTGACTAATAATGGTCTGCATAATTAGCTTGTTAACAACTGCTCTCACCACATATTGGCACCAAGTTGATGGCATATAAAAGAAAACTTTTATCAAGGAATATTCAGAAAACTCTAGATTAATTTAAACAAAAAAGTGGAATAAATTAACATACCTTCACGATACTTGTACAAATTGGTGATATCATGACGCTCGTCACTTCCAACAGCTTTTGTACTGATACGCCTACCAATACCATACATGGACTTACTCATGTAAGATATTTCATTATTTTTTGATACCTAAAAGACATTGAGATGGCCAGAAAAATTTACATATAACATGACTTTGTATATTTTTTGTCTATAATCTTTTGTTTTAATAAGACAAACAGATATATAAAAATAACAAAATGAATGCTGCCCTGATTCAAATGGAGGCAACCAAACATTCTTATATTTGAGTAGAATAATAAAATTAAAAGACTATCTTGGGCAGAAGACACAGATACTACGTTGATTATAGGCAGAGGCCCGTTTAAATGTATAGATACGTCACTTATTCTAGATAGAAGTGCTAATCTAAACATAAATAATCTTATCATTTTTTACAGGCATTATGCATCCTCATATATTTAAAAAATTTCATATGAAAGATTACTTGTTGATACAGTGTAACCCGGATATAAGAGAGTTGTCGGGACCGGAGAAGAAGTCTCTTATATCCGGGTTTCTCTTATATCCGGGTTTGGTCTATTATATATACATTAACACAGGCTCTAATTTGGGACCAGAGAAAATCTCTCTTATATCCGGGTTTCTCTTATATCCGAGTCTCTTATATCCGGGTTACACTGTATTAACAAAATATGTCTAGTATAACATAATTCAAATAATAATTTTTTTATGAATAAAAATATATACAAATTGAAGGAAGCGTCTCTGCTGGGTCAGAGGTTAAGAATTGGATCACAGTTCGTTTAATGATAAAATGATTACTTTGAACTAATAATGATGCTTCAATCAAAGTAAAATGACACTAAACTGATATATATATATATATATATATATAGAGAGAGAGAGAGAGAGAGAGAGATATGGTGCTGAAAAGTCTGAGAAATCTTTGTAGAAAATAATTTCTATGCAATTCATTGCTTTTAATTTTCTTCTGTTTGCTGTCAATTAAAAAGAAGCCCAAAGAAATAAACTCTTCACTGTCCCCTCCACTCATAACTGTATATTTTTATTGTCAATGGGTCAGAGGTTAAGAATTGGATCACAGTTGGTTTAATGACAATAAAATGATTCCTTTGAACTAATGATGATTCTTCAATCAAAGTAAAATGATACTAAACTGATATATATATATATATATATATATATATATAGATAGAGAGAGAGAGAGAGAGAGAGACTGAGAGAGTGAGAGAGAGAGACAGAGATCTTCTGTTTGCTATCAATTGAAAAGAAGTTCAAAGAAATAAACTCTTCATTGCCCCCCACCTCATATAACATTCTAATACTGAGACAATTAAGTTACAAGAGATTTGTTGAATAAAATATCTTTATTTATTGTCAATGGAATGTCTACTGAATTGTATTAACTCTACATAACTTCTTATTGAAAAGTGAAACATATTTATGGTAAAGAAAAAATGTTTATTTTACAATCTTTGTCATCAGAAACAAATTTGGTTATTTTCATTTAGGATAGGTTTTGTGTTTACATAAAAGAGAAACAAAATAAGATTTCATTTGTTCCTCATACATTTCCAAATGAAGAATTACTATAGAACATTTTTTATTTTTGTCATAACAACATTCAGCACAGAAATATTTTTCTTGTCCTGACATTAACATTAATAATAAAAGACAAGTTATAGCCTTACACTAAGCAGTTACAAATGGTAATGGTTATTGTCAAATCTATATAAAAAAAACAAAAAATGGTAACTTCTCCTTTCCCTTATTTTCCCTTGGGTCCAGTAAATATGAATACCAAATTTGAGGACTGTAGATGAAATTATTTCACCGTGTACACCATATATTTCATGAGGCTATCTTGCCTTAGACACACCCACTGCTGCAACAGTTGCAGTACATTGGTTCTCCTTTGACTCAAAATAGGTTATAGAGCTTGTGATCAAAATACCTATGATGAAGGCTGAAGAAGGTAACAGCCAAAAGAATACAGTTACAAATGGTAGTTGTTATTGTCAAAGATATCCCTGATTTTAGCAAAATTATTTAACCTCTGCTTGAAGGAGAACTCCTTCCTAAGTTGGTGGAAGGTATTAACTGTAGGCTTTGTTTTCAAGAATGCAGGTGAGTGCTCATCTCTATTTCACTACAGACCCATAAACCTCATTGGTGTCATTAACAAAAATTTTGAAACTATAATCAACAATCTTGTTGATCACCTCAGTAGAAACAACCTCTTGAGTGACAAACAGTATGGATTTCAATCAGCTTAGTCCACTGCTGATATCATAACAGTCATTACTCACAGAATCAGTGAGGCAGTAGAAATCAAATACATGATGATCACGTTAGATATATCAAATGCCTTTGACAAGGTAAGGTGTGGCATGGAGGGTTAACACACAAGTTCTTTAGCCATGGAATCACTGGAAGTGTCTTCACACTTATGAAGTCCTTCATAACGGTTAAGTCCTCCAAGGTAGTTATTAGCCTTCTTTCTACTTTGCATAATGATCTGCTGAAGAGTATACTTCAATCAGTTATATCTATGCTGATGATACAAAGTTATATAGATGCACCGCCAAAACTCTAGATGACCAGAGACTGGCAGCTGATCTCTCCTCTGACTGAGCTCTAACAGCTCTGTGAAAAAAAAAAAAATTGGCTGGTCATATCCAGTGCCTCGAAAATCAAACTAGTGATGTTCCATCATTACCAATCAGACTGTAAATTTTTACTTAGCATGATGAATGGGTGCTTCCACAGGAAAGCCCCATAACTTGACCACCAATTGTGCCTTAAGCTCACCCTAGACCTGAAATGAAACTTGTACATACAATCCATCGCTAAAGATGCTGATAAAATGGTCGATTACCTGTACCATTCCAGTAAGTACCTGACTCCTCCTGCAATCCTTTACCTTTACAAGAGCCAAATCAGGTTGAAAATAAAGTACTGCTGCCGTGTATGGGCAGCGTTGTGCTCCCCCTCCTTGGAGGGGTGTACGCGCATCATTTATCATCTCTCAGTTGTGTCTCTGTCCTTGGTTAGAGTGCACTCAGGGGCTTCTCTGTCTAAGGACAGAGGGGCAACTGAGAAAATAATACTGAAGAGGTGCTCAGCCCTGGGGAACAGCTGCCCGAGGCTGCGCCCTCCCATTGCACCAGAGGTTGGGATCGGTGCTCACACCGAGGCCAGCACAACTGACGGTTGCGGGGACTGAGGGGAATTTTTGTCCCTGCCCAGGTGTACACGCTTAGGTTCCCACATTAAACCAACCTTGTGTCACATCTCGTTCTAGTGAGTGAACAAGTAAATACCATGTATGGGCAGGAGCTATCCAGTCTTCACATTCTAGTCTCAATAGTGTCTAAAAGCATCTCCACATCCTTGTGGGTGATGAATTATTTTCCACCCTACAACTCTTTCTCACAAAAAAAAACAGTTTCAATGTTTTATCTTGTAATACTCTGTGTAATGGATAAATCTTTTAACATTTACAAGATGGCTTATAAAATTAATATTTAAAATTTTCTTCAGGCTATTGAACTCCTTCATTGTATTCTTGATGCTGCTTGGCATATAAGCTGGGAATTTTCTTGACTATAGACTAAAACTGCTAGGTATGTGGGTGGCAGTCATGGGTTCATTGGGTCATCTAGCATTGGTACTCCTTTGACTCTAATGGGTTATGAGACTTGATACTAATGATGAAGGCTGAAGAAGGGATCAGCCCAAGCACTAGTCACATGAAGAACACAAAAGAAGAGTTCATTTATCCAAATAAAACTGAGAATTAAAAATATTTTTTTTGTAAATATTACCTGCCAATAAACACAATTGCCATTGACTTCAGCAAAAAAAAATGAGATATTAGGACTTAGCTCACCTCAGACCTTAAGTGAAACTTGTACATACAATCCATCACTAAAGATTCTGATAAAATGGTCGATTCTCTGTACCACTCCAGTAAGTACCTGACTCCTCCTGCGATCCTTTACCTTTACAAGAGCCAAATCAGGTTGAAGATAAAGTACTGCTTTCATGTATGGGCAGGAGCTATCAAGTCTTTACATTCTAGTCTCAATAGTCCAAAAATGTCTGCACATCCTTGTGGGTGATGAATTATTTTCCACCCTACAACCCTTTCTCACAAAAAAAACAGTTTCAATGTTTTATCTTGTAATACTCTATGTAATGGATAAATCTTTTAACATTTACAAGATGGCTTATAAAATAAATATTTAAAATTTTCTTCAGGCTATTGAACTCCTTCATTGTGTTCTTGATGCTGCTTGGCATATAAGTTGGAAATTTTCTTGACTATAGACTGAAACTGCTAGGTATGTGGGTGGCAGTCATGGGTTCATTGGAACATCTAGCATTCTTGGTCAAGTTAGTATAAATACATTAGCAATCATTTTTCTGTTCCCATTTTCTGAAGAACTTTATTTTCCTCTTTTCTTGCATATTATTCATTGGATCAACCTGAATAGAAATCTATTAGGCTATCTTACCCTAGACACATTCACTGCTGCTCCTTTGACCCTGATGGTTTATGGTACTCATGATCATGATACCTATGTCAAAAGCTGTAGGAGGGGTCAGCTAAAACATGAAGAATACAAATGGGTTCATTTATTCAAACAAAATTAGGAATTAAAAAGATTTTTTAAAATATTACCAGCCAGTAGACACGATCCCCATTGACTTCAGCAAAAATAAATGAGACATCATAAAGAAGGTAGACTTGGCCTTCTTTGATAGCTTTTAAGGGAGCAGGTCCACAATGCTTAGTACCTAAAATCAAAAACAAACAAATTTATCCAAGTGAAATAAATCATAGACCCAAGTAGCATATTTAATACAAAATGTTGTAAGTCAAAATAAACATTTCTGTTGAAAATGTGAAAAAAAAAAAAAAATTTAACGGATAATTTGAAATTACTTAGAAACAACTCTTAACAAATTATCATAAAATATAGTTGTTTATTGTTGTAACCAAGAAAAGGTTAATGAATAGAATAATCATACAAAGGTTGGTAATGAACAATAATACTTAGGACATGAACAACACATATAAGATTTGCCAGCAAAGCGTAGAAGAATTAGTCAACTGCTAGAAGTGAGTCAAGTGAATTCCACAATGAATCTCCAACTGCAAACCAACATACAGTATTTACTACTGTATTTATGTGAATCAAAACATACCCATTATCATCCATAGGTATGCTACAACATTTATGAAGACAGTTATATCAATAGTAGGCATTCTTGGCCGTATCATTTGAAACTTAATTTTTTCGTAATGACAAGGGAAAAAATTATGATTATTCTTATATGAATGTGAATGTTAGTAATAATCCTAGATAAGATATTCTGCGTGTTTTTCATTCCAATTTTATGTTTTAGGTATCTGTTGTAACCTAGGAAAGGTTACTGAATAGAATAATCACACAAAGGTTGGTAATGAACGATAATACTTAGGACAAGAACAACACATATAAGATTCACGATTGGTGCATAGAAAAACTAGTTGACAGCTAGAAGTGAGTCAAGTGATTTCCACAATGAAGCTCCAACTGCAGACCAACATACAGTATTTACTACTGTATGTGTGTGAATGGGGACATACCCATTATTGTCCGTCAGTATGCTACAACAATATCCAAAAAATTTCCACCTTCTTCTGATGATTAGTAAATGTTTCTTTATAGTTCCTATTCTCCTTCCCTTTTGTTCAACGCTTTACATACAGGGTTCTTTGCCAAACCACATCTCAGCTGCCTCAAATCCTTTTTGTTCATTTGTGATAAATCTATACAACTTTCAATGTTTTATAGGAGCGTAAACATTACATGGCAATTAAGCTAGGCACCTCAAGGCAGTGTAATGATTAGCAAGCTTGTCTCGTTAGAACAATTATGACTGAGTACTGAGTTCGATCCTCACTGGGTGTCTCCTACTTTTGGCCTTGTGCCACATCTTAGCTACATTTGGAAAATCACCATATCGGGCACCTTGAGGTGGTGTAAATGTTTAGCAAGCTTGTCTCGCTAGAACAATTACAACTGGGTAGTGAGTTCGATCCTCACTGGGTGCCCCATACTTTTGGCCTTGTGTCACATCTAAGCTACGCTTGGAAAATTAACTGGGCACCTCGGCATGGTGTAATGGTTAGCAAGCTTGTCTCGCTAAAACAGTCACGACTGAGTAGTGAGTTCAATTCTCACTGGGTGCCTCATGCATTCAGCCTTATGCTACATGTAAGCTATGCTTAGAAAATCATTTTAGGGCACTTCGGTGTGGTGTAAGGGTTAGCAAGCTTGTCTCACTAAAACAGTTATGACTGAATAGTGAGTTAGATCCTCATTGGGTGACTCATACTTTCAGCCTTGTGCCACATCTAAGCTACACTTAGAAAATCAATACATGGTAATCAAGTTAATATTTTGTCTCTTATTATTTATTCAGTTTTGAAGTGCATCTTTTGCTATTCATATTTCTGTAACAGACTTTTCATCGCCTTTTATGACATTAACCAGATAGCTACATTATTTCTTCTTCAGGGCAGTCATGGCTCTCCACAATTTCCTATCCTTTGTAGCTCTTAATAATTTTTTTCTTTTAGTTATCTCTCCTAAACCTTGTTCCACCATCCATTTACTCAAGCTCTTTCTTCTTCTTCTTCTTCTTCAATGTGCTGTGTCCTTTCAGGACTTAGGTGATCATGGCTCTCCACAATTTTCTATTCTTTGTAGCTCTGAATAAATTTTGTCTTTTTGTCATCTCTCTTAAACATTGTTCCGCCATCCATTTACTCAAGCTTTCTTCTTCTTCTATATGCCGTGTCCCTCCAGAACATTCGTGATCATGGCTCTCCATAATTTCCTGTTCTTTGTAGCTCTTAATAAATTTTGTCTTTTTTTATCTCTCCTAAACCTTGTTTCGTCATCCATTTACTCAATCTCGTTCTTCTTCTATGTGCCATGTCCCTTCAGGATGTGAGCAATCATGGCTCTCCACAATTTCTTGTCCTTTGTAGCTCTTAATAAATTTTGTCTGTTATCTCACCTAAACCTTGTTCAGCCATCCATTTACTGAAACTTAATCTTCTTCTATGTGCTATGTCCTTTCAGGAGGTTGGCAATCATGGCTCTCCACAATTTCCTGTCCTTTGTAGCTCTTAATAAATTTTGTCTTTTAGTTATCTCTCCTAAACCTTGTTCTGTCATCCATTTACTCAAGCTTACTAAGCATTTTATGCATTGCTTTGCTCTATCCCTCTTGCCTTCAATCTGTCCTGCAAGTATTAGATTTTCCAAGCCCCCTTTCCTCATTATGTGCACTAGAAATTTCAACTGTCTTTTCCCAGAGTTAAGTATAAGTTTCCTTTTTGTTTCCATTTTCTCTAAAACTTTGTCGTTGCTCACTTGTTTGGTCCATGGTATCCTCAGCATCTTTCTGTAGAACCACATTTCTGTTGCTTCAAGTCTCTTCTGTTAACCATGTTTGCCATAGTCTCTGAATATAGTATCCAGTGAAGTCCATAATGTGTTCAATATCAGAGGTTGGCAGTGAAGATTCGGAGAAAGTAGCAGCTGTTAAGTAATTCTTTAAGTCTTCGATATCAGGTTGGCAGTGAGGATAATTTAGGAGAAAAAACAAAATGGCTGCCTTTATACACATCGCGTTGAATATTTTGAGCTTTCTGATTGGTTAACCCTTCTATTGGTGAACTATAAAATGAGTCAGCTCATTTTGGCTAGCTCACTAGTACTTACAGGGTACCCAAAAATTCCAACATCTTCTTCATCTGTGAGAAGATTGTCCAGCATGCACCAACATGTAAGAGGACCACATAACAGTTCAGTACTTTTTTTCTTTGTTTCTAACAAAATTTTTGCACACCACCATACATTTGGTGTTCTTACAAGAAATTGTCACTTATGTCTTCTTACTTTCTTTGATTACTTTATCAAATATTTCTTTCAGTTTCCTTTTGAATCTACTTTTAATATAACATATGCTGTTAAGATTTTATCTACATATATTAAACCCTAGTAGATCCCAATAGGTCCTCTAATTGTATGAGAATCATATGGCTTCCTTGAGCGCTAGAATTTCACTGAGTGAGTCCTGCCATGATTCTAACCTCTGACATGGTGATAGACAGACAAATGGAATATCTATTTAACCAATGCTTGAATATATGCTAAATGTGCTCTAGAAACATCAGCTCAGTTTATTTTCTTTTAATATTTGTAATTTATTTTAATTAGTTATTTTAATAAAGGTTTAAAGAAAATTTTAAATTTAGTTATTTTTATTGTTTTAAATGAGTTAATGTCATTAAGAAAAAAAGCAAAAGTTACTAATTTAAATAATTACAAGCTTAACAAGCTTAAAATGCACTTACTAGTTACAAGATAATTTGCACCATATATTCAAGATGTAGAACATTGGTTTAATGGTCATGTTATTTTTCTGCCTATTTCCAAGTTAGGGGTTCAAATACCATGGAATTTCCATGGGTCCAGCAAATTACTTGCATTTTATAATGTGACAAATAAAAAGAAATTATTAAACTATTCTTCAAATAATATTTAATTTGACATAATTTCCAAAATTTCCAGCTTACTTTCACTGTTTTGCTGGGGTGTGGCATCATGAGCCTGCCATCCATCGTAGCCAGCAGGCAAATCTGTCCGTTTTAACCAGGATTCATTCCAGACATGAAAATCCCTAACAAAATAGAGAAAAATGAATTAATATAAGGACTATACATCTGTATGCCTAACTCATTTCAAATATACTTTCTTTTGTACCTCAGCCTCTCTTGTATCTTTCAAAATTATCTGTAAAGTCCTCAATTTGCTATCTAGCTCAGCATGTTTTTCCTTAATGTCATCCACATAGGTAGACAATGTTCCTATTGTCAACCGAGTGACGTCCAACTTGAAGTGTAACTCCAGCATTGCATCTTCTGTACTTTGGATTGCCATTCAAGTTCAGAAGTGTTTCATCTCTTTAGTTCTTTGGGAATTTCTTTTGGCATGAGCCATTTTCCATGCAAGGGGAAGAAGGGCTGCAAGGACCATGTATCATGCATTGTTTTGCTAAATCTTGTAAGAATGGATCATCATTGACATCAGGAATTTCAGCTGTCGTGATCCTATCTATGTCATTGCTGTTTCTGAGTTTGTCCTGTCATATGACAGTGGGGCAAACCTCTCATCTGAAACTCAATGACATGAACATGAGACACTGGCACCCTAAAAATGTGTCTATCCTTTATGTCCCTTATAAGTTCTACAAGGTGTGACCTGTACACCCGGGCAACTAAATCTGACCTATTTTCAGGTGTTTCATTTTGCTGTAGATTATAAACTATCTTAATGCAATTCACGTTGCAAGTATAGATATTTACCCCACTGAGTCAGTTTGTGACACAAGGTCAGTTTTTAACGTGGGGACCTGAGTGTCTTCACTTGGGCCACTGGTCTTAGCTGGTCATAGCTTGTTTAAGGTAGTCATAGCTGGTCCAAGCTAGTCATAGCTGTGATACTACCAATGAATGAGGAAGGCAGTATCATTGGCACTCCTGGTTCAATATTCTCATCTGCTCCTGTGTTCAAATAGTCCATCAATCTGTTGTACCTTTCCACTCACAACTGGACTTGATTGTTCCTAAGATATTGCAACCTGCAACCTTCAACCTTGACATATGCACCTACAACATACTGTTGAAATAATTTTCCAGCTCTGTGAATAACACTAAATCTACCTCTGATTCTGAGGTTAATTTAACTTTTGTAAATTTTATGAAACTAAGTGGGTTGCAACATATGTAAAAAAATTATGTTACTAAAATTTTCTGAAAAACAAAGAATGCAAAAATAATTTCATTCATTTCTAAATAAGTCCTGAAAGTTGCTAATTTGAAATGCAAATGAAATAAAGTCTAAAAATAATTAAATTAAACATTGGACTTAAAAAATTAAATTCAAGGTTGCCTTTCAAACGTTTTTTGTTTCAAAACAACTCAAAGAAAAAAACTAATAAAAAAAGAAAAAGTAAAATAAAAACCAAAAACTTTTTATGAAAAAGTGGAGGCACACACACAAAAGAAATACAAGATAATATATATATACACAACACAAAGAAAAAAAATGATATGTTATAGGTATCCTCCATTGCTGCTCCTCTAATTGATTTGGAGTGGGTGAGAGTGAGAGTGTTTTTTTGAAAATTGCCGGCATTTGTTGATGGCAAGAGTGAGTTAGAGTGGATAAGGGTGTTTCTTTGAAAATCACCACCAGTGAGACACCGAATACAGATCAGTACTGAAGAGAGTAATGGACATTAGAACTATGTAACTCACTAAGGAAGGAACAAGTACAATTATAATAAGATTATACAAAGAAGAGATTCAAGAGTCCAAACATTGTTGGATATTTTAAGGACTCCTTTCAAAATTATGGACAATTCCTTATATAGAATGATAAATTATATCTTAGATAAACATAAATAGACTGAGATAGATATTAAAAATGAGCCACTTGATGTTACAGTTTATTGTGATTTCATATAAAATTACTCAAAGATTTTAATTTAATAAAAATAGTGCAGGTAAAGAAATCAGGAAACCATATTCAAATTTTGGCTGAAACAGTTTCTTTTCACTTTACACTAATGCCCTTAGGAAAGGAATGAATCCATCTCTTCTCCCCCCAACAATAGGTTAAATAGGCAGGGTTTAGTTGGCTACCAGTCTAGAAGAAGAAAAACTCTGAATTGAAAACAATACAAAACTGCTCCACTATATTTCTGAAGTATGGTTATGGTAGTGCACAGTTTACAGTATTTAAGAAAAGGAAGTGGTGGAGGGCTTTGATTGCCTTTGTTTTGAAGAGATTTGGCAATGTTTTATTTATACTATTTATGGTTTTAATTTAAAGTATCACCAAATATTTTAACAAATATAGTAAATGATCCACTTACCAAACAGCATCGTTTAAATGTTTAACTGGATGTCCCTCTTCATCAAAGTGAAAATCAATTGTCATGCTATTGTCTTTGTCGTAAGCAGATTCATAATTGGTAACTGGCCTTGTTGGAATTCCAAGAGCTCGAAGCACTAAAACCAAGTAAAGACAAAAAGTATTGATAAGGACACAGTTATTAAAATTGATGACAGGTTTCAAAGAATAAGCACTTTTCTTATTTTGATATAATATATGCGAAATATAACGGATTCTTTTATATATATTATATATTTTTATATATATTATATATCTTACTTATTATAAAACGCAGATTGTGTGTGTGTGTGTGTCTGTACGTTTATATATTGGATCGGATTTCCTACATTTTTCAACTGATTTCAACAAAACTTCACAGGACTACGTAAAATTACCTTGCGGTGGTTCTGACAGTGCCAAAAATTGGAAAAACACAATTGTTTTTGCATGAAATCAATTTGAAAACACGATTAAGTCGCCAGAATGAAAGAGGGACAACTCATATCGAGTTATACTTATTATAAAACCCAGGTTGTTTGTGTGTGTCTGTATTTGTTTATATATGGGATCGGATTTCCTACATTTTTCAACCGATTCCAACAAAACTTCACTTTTTTTAGCAGGTAGTGTTTCTTATTATCTTGCACACTTTTTTCTTTATTTTTACATTCAGAATGCTTTAAAAATTCCATTTACAAGACAATTGTTTATAATGAAATTCTATTCAATTGATAGACTCATAACGATTGAAAACAATGTTTTTGTTTGAGTTTGGGTTTGACCAATTCGTATAAAACAAAAAAAAAAACAAAAAAAACAACTAATTAAGACATGCATGTCCGTCAACCTTAAACAATAATCTTTGTCAATTTTATTTTTCAGTCTTTATGATGGTCGATACTTGATCTATCTCTTACTGTTACATCCCAGGGCAACGCTGGGCTCTACTGCTAGTATTATATATTTTATATATATTATATATTTGATATAATATATGCGAAATATAACGGATTCTTTTAAATTAATGCTTTATATTTATTACGAATGAAACTACAACAGAAGCAGGAAACACAATAACATATAGTATGACTAGAACAAGTTTTCCTCTAAAAAACATGGTTTTTCTATATCATCACCACCATTGTCGATGCATTTTTTGCTAACAATGAACAAGACCTTGTGTGTCATAACTTCCATACACAGAACAACTGTGAAGAACAAGATGATTCACCTCCCGCAAAGCGAATTTGCTTGGCATGTCAGGTCTTGTTGAAAGATCGCAACTGCCATTAAAAGTGAAATGTATTATTCTGAAATTCCTATCGCCGAGCAGACGTACAATGAAAAACACTGAGAATTCAAACCAGCTTGAATTTATGAAATAGGAAGTCTCGTGCGAACAAGAATTAAGTCATGTATGCATATATTAGTTCCTCCCGATGCAGGTATAAATAGTGAGTCTGTGAGAGGGATCGACAGAACTTTCGTTGATATGACGTCATACAGACAGATGAATGAGAACAAGAAAAGAAGGAAGAGGTCAGTCGCTTGAAAGCAAGCACCTTAATCAATTTCAGTTATTGCAAATGAATGGCGAACTAAATCAGCCACAACAACTAACATTGCTAAAACATATTAACCACTGCCTAACTATGATCATATCCACTCTTTGTTCTCTCAAAAAGTGTTGATGAAGGTCAGTAAGTACAATTTTTTCATATAAATTAATTCACTGACAGATTTTTATTTAGTGCACATTTTTACATTAGACCCCATTTTGATTGACTGTTATCTGTAACAAGACAAAAAAATTATAGGTTATTACCAGGATGATTCAACCTCTATTGTCATACTGCCATCACCCATATTTGATATTGTGGGCCAACATAATAAGATAGAAGCTATTATTTTCATAGCAAACTTCATAACATTTATATCTATGCTTATTCATCCAGTCTTACAATTACTTTATTTTTTTTTCATCTGTAATTTCTCTGCAAATGTCTAGTCATTTCCTGATTTATCATCCAAAGAACAAATGTGTTTTAAAAACAGTGGATCTGAATAAAATTATGTAAATCCTTCCAACCAACATTGTGAAAAAGGGAACAGAAAGATAATTATATTTAAAAAAAAAAAAAAAAAAAACTCATCAGAATTGAAATTCAACAAACTATTTGATAATTTTTTTGATCTCAGTCACCAACTCAGTTGAGTTAACCTATGTCCCCTCTGATTTTGGTAATGGCATCTGCATTACCACAGATGATTAGATTTCTCTTCTTTTTATGTGCTATGTCCCCTCAGGACATAGGTGATCATGGCTCTCCACTTCCCCCATCCCTTATAGCCCTCAATGAGTTTCATCCCTCTGCCACCTCCTCCAGACCATGTTCTGTCATCGACTTGCTTAAGCCTGCCAGGTATGTCATGCATTGCATTCACTTGTCTCTATTTCCCTCTATTCAACCTGTGAGTATCATATTCTCCAGGCGCTCCTTCATTATGTGACCCTGAAACTTCAGCTGCCTTTTCCTGATGTTAAGTATAAGCCTGCTCCTTGTTTGTAACCTCTCTAAGACCTCATCGTTGCTCACATGCTCAGTCCATGATATCCTCAGCATCCTTCTGTAGAACCTCTGCTACCTCCTCCAGACCACGTTCTGTCATCCACTTGCTTAAGCCTGCCAGGTATGTCATACATTGCTTTCCCTTGTCTCTCTTTCCCTCTATTTGACCTGTGAGTATCAGATTCTCCAGGCCCTCCTTTCTCATTACATGTCCCTGAAACTTCAGCTGCCTCTTTCTGATGTTAAGTATAAGCCTCCTCCTTGTTTGTAACCTCTCTAAGACCTCATTGTTACTCACATGCTTAGTACATGATATCCTCAGCATCCTTCTGTAGAACTATATTTCCATCGCCTCGAGTCTCTTTTTCATCTTTGAAGAAACCATCCAACATTCACTACCATAACGGAGGTCAGATGTCACATAACAGCTCAGTATTCTTTTCTTTGTTACCAAAGAAATCCTTCTGTCTTGTAATACTCTGCCCAGCTTTTGGAATGTGTCCTTGGCCATCCCAATATGTCTATAGATTTCAGTGTCGCACTTCCCAGATATTTAAAGTTCTGCGTCTGCTTGATTCTACTGTTCCCAACCTGCAAATCACATTTCGGGCTCATCCTTTTACTGATGACCATTCATTCTGTCTTCTTGCAGTTTATGTTTAGTCCTTTCTTCTTGCTCTCCTTCTCTACCTTCTATAGGAGGTTTTGTAATTTCTTTTCAGTGTCTGTTATCAGTACTGTGTCATCTGCATATCTTCAACATGCCATCTTGTAAAAACTCTGAAAATCACCAACGAAAACAGTTATGTATAAATAAAGCAAAACATTTTTATATATGAATAATCTAAACAAGAAATACAACTTACATGTTGTCATGACTCCTGCAAAAACCCGACATTGTCCATAACGAACAGTTTTCCTGGTGTCCATATATTCTTTAAGGATAGCCACACTGCCAGTCCATGTCTTTGGATCTGTGGTGTCCTTTGGATAATTTTCAGTCCATCTTCCTTCCAGTAAGCCATTGTCATCACCATTACTGTTGACCTAAATCATGGAATAAAAAAATACACCATGATGAATAAGGCTTTTCTATTTTGCAATGTCCAGTCTGCTCTCAAACTCTTGAAGGTTGCTTTATCGTTGTTGTACATAATGTTTAAAGTTCAGTCATTTCAAATTGCAAGTGTATAGGCATTTTCTTGGTTCATAGAAAATGAACTTTCAATCAGTTTCAACTGAACATCACAATTCTAAATGAATTAATTCCAAAGAACACTAATGAAATGTATTTATTAGTAGCATAATAAAGACATGAGACCAAAATTATCCTGAATAGTCACTACATGAATCAAAATTTTAAAATTGTGAGAGTTTTTATGACAAATACTTTATTATTTTCAAAATAATATGGGTCACATCACAAGCTATACATGCTGTGCAGACCACTATATACAGTACTGTATTACCGTATTTGATGACATATAAACACACGGGTGTATAAGACACACCCAAATTTCAGCAGGGCAAATCAAGAAAAAAATTAGTAATTAGTAAAATTATTAGTAATTGGTACAGCCTAGGCTATACTTATGAGGTATTATTTTGGTTAAACAAGCTAGGATTACAGTTAAATGAAAAATAATAGGAAAAAAGAACATGTGCCTATAAAAAATTTATTATATCCTTTATATGATCTGCACAGCCTGCATTTTGTAAATGTCTTATTGGAATAATTAGGATATAAAAATTCTGATTATATTTATACCATTGCAATCAGAAGTTATCGCATGAAAAATATTAATGAAACAAATATATTTTACAAATATATAATTTGAATTTATTGCATATAATTTTAGTAAAACAAAGTACTAATATTAAACGTGATGACATTAATATAATGAATATTACCAATAATGGCACTTTTAATCTGCTTAATAGCCTTTTAAATAATGACAATAGGTATAAGAAAGTTACTGTAAAGTCTAAGCTAATAGGAGTTGCCAGGTAGCTAATTTCGGTCAACTATTGTAAATTTTAAATTTACATATATCATATAAGATGCAGGGGACTTTTAAAAGATATTTTAGTAAAAAAAAATGCACCTTATATGCCATCAAATATGGTAATTATAATTTATATATATATATATATATATATATATATATATATATATATATATATATATATATATATATAATAATAATAGAATTTAAAAAATCCATCTGGCTATAATTTATTTTATGGACCTTACATGCATCTCTTCAGACCAGCGTTCTGAATGGATGGATGTAAGGTCCATGAAATAAATTATAAGCAGATGGATTTTTAAGGATTTTGCATTGATTATTATATTGATCTGTTCTTACATTGAACTCTTTTTGGACCAATATCCTCCTTAGAATTATGGCTACTACTTATCAATTGATATTATTTATACACACACACACACACATATATATATATATATATATATATATATATATATATATATATTTTTCTTCTTGTTGGAAGTCCTCTTCAGTAGTTCTGATCTTTAAGAACTCAGATGAACCATTCAACAACTAACTAGCCTATTAACATTCTACCTCTTTTTGGTAAACTACTAAAGGTTCTAATCAATTCTGAATTTGTTAAGCATCTCACTTCACCCCTTCCTCTTTCAAATAAGCAATATGGCTTTCACTTCTCTATGTCAACTGCTGATGTCTTAAGGATTATTACTGAAAGATTCTATCAAGCTTTATATAAGAATAGTGAAGCTCTGGCTCTTGCTTTTTATATCTCAAAGGCATTTGGGAAAATCTTTGAACTGATTCAATTATTCTTATCAATTCATGAAATGAAAGTGTTCTTGAATGGCCTGTCTTCTAGATCATTTTGTATTAATGCAGGTGTACCCCAAGGATCTGTATTTAGTTGTCCCTAATTTTCATCAACAATACTTCTAACATCATCAGTTTTCAATTCAGTAACTATGCTGATGACAACTATTTACTTTTGTCTTAATAATAAGTCTGATTGGTTCGATATGATCAAATTGGCAGCTGATCTCAAAAATGACCTCCAATCTGTTGTTAACAGGGGCAAGGAATGACTTCTTAATTTTGATGACTCCAAAATGAAACTACTCACTTTTAATCATCTAAGAGAACCTCTTTTCCCCTTTCATTAGCATGGCTGATGCTAACCTCCATCAAGTGATTCATTTAGCCTTCTCAGGCCAACATTTTCTGTTGGACATGGAGAAAAAAGATTATATTGAATCAACTGCTAGATCTCAGAAAGCTGGTTCACTGTGTTGTGTTAGAGTCTAGCAAGAAAAAATGCCTATCTTGTATATTTATAAGTCTACCATTTGTCCATGCATTGAATATTGCTGCCACATCTGGTTTGATGCATCTGCTATATATTTAGAGATTCTTGATAAAATCCAAAAAAGAATCTGCAATGTTTTTGACCCTGACCTAGCATCTCAGCTTCAGTCACTTTTCCACTGCTGTAACATAGTTTCACTGTGCCTATTCTCTAAATATGTTTATGTTAATTATTCTGATGAACTTTCCTCTATGGTACCTAGACTTTATGAATTTAAGCACGATACTAGATTGGTGACAAGGTTTCATCATTTTACAGGTTAAGTGACTAGATGTAACCATGAGTTTTATGCAAACAGTTTCTTCTCTCACACTTCTCATTTATGGTAATCTCTTCTTGCTTCCCAGTTAACTTTGACCTTCAAAAATTTAAATGCAAAGTCAATTGTTATCATCTGTTTTCTTAATTCCCGCTCTTTTATTGTTGTCTCTCCTTAATATTTTTTCCTCATATTCTCTCACACTAAGTAACCCCTTGTGACTTAGTGGCCTTATTCTTGGTTGACATCCAGTCTAGGAGAAGGATAACTGAATTCAGAACATTGGAGAAGACAATGGGAAAACATTTCACTGTTTTTCCTAAGAGTAATCATGACAATGCACAGCCTAGTGCTAATATAGAAGAGAAGCCTTGACAAATGGGACATGCTACTTTAAGAAAAGACAGTTGTTTAAAAATAAAAAATGAAAGTCATTTTTTGCTTATTTATTGACTAAAACACAAGTAACACCTTAAAAGGGCTTTTTAAATGTTCATTGTAAAATTTATTTATTTCTAAAATGAAAAATTAAACTGTCCTACATTTGAAAAGAAAAGTTATCAAGAAATTTGATCTTACATATTACTTTACAGTTTAGGTTACAAAAACTAATAGGTTATTGTCATTCGAGTTTAGTAGGAAAGCTACAATATTCATTATCCATTCTTCTTCATAGCATATAGATTATTTAATTCTAGTAGTATGAGATGTAATAGTCTTATGTTGTCCATCTTTCTTGGATGAAGCATTCTCTTTAATAATTTTCTTTTAGTTATTTTTGCCATTTTTATCAGTGCTTTTTATTTCAAGAATTGGGTCATTTTTACATTCTATGATCATTAAATGTAGAATGTATTAAAAAAAGTTGCTTTCAAGCATAGAGAATTTGAGTTCAAATCTCATCAGGGACTCCTTGTTTATTTTATAATTGATGCTAATTGCTTAATGGTACCAGAACACAGAAATAAGTTGTATTTTGTGGTAAAAACAACAACAATAGATATGAAATAATAAAGAGAAATGAGCAAAAAAGAAAAAGATTTGGAAATAATTTTGTTACTCACAATAGCAGAAAGGCAACGGATAACAGAAATAGGATTTTTATAACCATTTTCTGTAAGTGCCCCTGTTTTGAGCAAAAGTAAAGCAGCATCGAGGCAAGGTTCATCAAACTGAAAAAAGTGAGAATAAAAGGTGTAGAAAAAAAAATGGTAGATTCTGATCAACATTATGGTGGCTTAAACAAAAAGCTGACATTAAATTTCTTCTTTATCATCATATATATATATTCTTAGTTTCAATAATGAATACGCTTATAAAATGCGTAAATTTCAGGAATAAGTTATTCCAGTAATAATTTCACTTGAAGATGGAACAGAGCTTAGTACTTTAATTCAATTTAATTCAAATAATTATATTGAAGTTTCTGGCTCTTGCTTTGAAACATGAGAACTCTTATGTAGCGTTGGAATCATATTTTTAAATAAATAATTATATATATATATATATATATATATATATATATATAACCTTAGAAAAGTACTAGAGGAACAGGAAGACAAATGGATTTTACCCCTCAAAACACTTCATCCAGTCAGGCTTAACCACAAATTTAACATCATAGATAGAATTAATATATAACCCCACAAATCAAGCTCTACCCACATTTCTCACCCACACAAGACAGACTTGCTTGCAGAGCTTTTGAGGTTTCATGCTTATACACACACTCACACAAATATACACACATCACAAAGAACTAAAAATAACATACACTTAACACTCACATCCCATTCCCAGCAATAAAATTGTCAAAATGACCAAGGGGGGAATTCTTAAAGGCAGGAATCTCCCATCCTCTATCTTAAAAAACAACTTAAAAAGAGGCCGTTTGACCAACACAAGGACTGACCAAAATTAATGATAAAAAAACAAATGAAAACTACAGATAAAGTTCACTTTCTTCAGAAACAGTCATTCACTCCTGGAGTTCACTGCTACTAACAAGCAGAGATTTTTTCTCCTGATGATGGCTATGCTGGCTGAAACTAGTCGAATAATCTAGTTGAAATAATAAAACAAAATATATTAATATACAACCCAGTGTGTCTGAAAATTTTAATTTTTTAATATTTAATAGTTTTTGTTCAAAACATGCACACACACAAACACACACATATATATATATATATATATATATATATATATATATATTTTATTTAAAGAAGAGACCGCTTTAAGGCTCCATTGTAATAGTTTATTTCACCAGAGACTTTTAACTTTCCCTGGATCTTCAGACATCACTTTCAAAAGGTGAAACGAAAAATGAAATTAAAATTTACACTTTTGACGGGCAGTATTAAGCTTATATAAGTTAACATAGAAGGTAGTGAGGAATGGTGTGAGAGACATGGTCGAGTTTAGAGAGGGAAGGGAGAATTTTAAAATTTATTTTTATATTTCTTTATAATACTTAATATTGAGGAAGGAGGGGGTAAGGATCAGACATTGACCTATTTAATCTGTCAACTCAACAGAAATGATATGTTGAAGGGGAGGAGAAAAAGGGTAAAAGAAAAAAGAAAAAAGGGGGAAGTAAAGAGAAAAGATATATACTTAGGGTTAATATATATAAATTCAGTTTGATCAAATCGATGCTCTTGAAATACTGGCTTTTTGCTTAGTGATATTTTAATAAATGCTAATTAAAACCTCTAACCTGATTAAGTTTAATGGGCATTTTTTTTTTGTTAGAATCCTATCTATTAGGTCCCATCAGAATATGGGGTACAAATAGAAGAGCCTTTAATGTATGAATACAAATTTTGTGTTGTTTTGTTTACTAGGTGTCATTTTAATTCACTTCTTCTTACCAGGGTTTCCACAATAAAATGTTATACATTGTCTGAAATTCTTAGATGAGCCATTCCTATTATTGCACAAGTTAGTTGAACTGGTATCTTCATCTTTGTTGTTTTCCTTAAATTAAAGTCAATATATTCTTCTGCTGTAGATAGATATGATTCTGTTATATTTGCCAAATAAATTTGTTGGGTAAATTAGCATATGTAAAGGAAACAAGTGAGGCTGAGTGTATTTTTACTATCTAAGTGTAGCAATGTATTTGGTGGGAGACAGGATAGCAATAACAATTAAATTTATTATTGTTATGTTATGGAGCCCTTTGATGTATTTGTCAGTTATGTCCAATTTGCCTAATGAAACAGTGACAACTTTCTTTTGGTTCAGATATACATAAATAGATTAATAACTATGATACTGTTATGGTCCAGGTTAGGACCAAGGAAGAACAACATGAACACGAGTAGAAATAACGAAGGTATATTACATGAAATAATAATACAAGATGTGGAAGGTGTTAGTATGACTGTCAGTCTGGTTTGGAGTGAACTACTATCGGCTCAACTCGATTCGGTATCTAGCTCCCCCCCCACAAGGGTTGCATGTGGCACAAGGTCGAGTTTAACATGGGTTTCCGAAGTCCGTAGGTTCGGCCAAAAAATGCCCGTAGAACCCGTATAAATGGGATCAGGTTGGTTAACCTCCCCGAACGAGAGACTGCCCTTCGGTGGAGCCTCGTCCGGGTTCCTCTCTGCTCAGAGGCAGAAAGTTCGACCGTCAAGCCGAGAAGCTCGACTCGATTCGTCCCTCTCTCTTGAAAGGCATAGTATACATAGTGTTAGGAAGAGTTCATTCTGTAGTTAAAGGTAAGGACCCATGACAGATACTAATTTTTTACTACCTCAACTACAAATATCAATACACCATATAAAATATATATTTGTGGCAACAGGGTACTTCCTACTTTTTCAACAGAAACAGGGTAAGAATGGACGGTCATTACAGGTGGATATGTTGGTCAGTGTATATGTTTGCTTTAAGACCCATCTCTTGACCTCAACATGGTAGGATGTAACATTGGGTCCATGCAGTTGTAGATGTTAGTCTCTGATAGGATCACCTGTGGCAGGTGGGTCAACACTGATGATGAAGAGCCACATCCCAGCTAATATAATTAAAGAGTATAAATCTGGAGCAGTCACAGTTCCTGAATCTGATTGACCGCAGCCATTATGTCCATCTGTAGGTATCTCATGGTAGACTAGAATTAAGTCAACCCACCCTGAATTAATGCTAAGACAAGTACAATATTTCTTCCAGTGCATGGATTCAAATTAACTATGAGTGATCATTTTATCAGGATCTCTTAGCCATTCAAATATACCAGAATCTTTTATATCACATCTCCAAATGTTAACGACATAATAAGAAATAAGTTTATTACCAGCATTAACAACTCAAGTTGGCGGAATTCAACTGTAGGTCAAGAGAAAGAAATCCAAATCTAAGAGACTGCATAAAAAAAACTGGTAGAAAAAGACTGGTGGAGATAAAATAATCACCTGACTGTAAAGTGAAAGAGAGAGAAATGGGGATTTTTTTATATACTGATACAGGATCCCAGAGCCAGCTCAGCTGACTTACAATTGCTTAAAAAACAGTGGAGATTTCCAACACAAATAAAGATTTATAAACAAGCATATACAGAGTACCATTTATGAAATATTCACTGAATATTGTAGTTTTTAAATATCATAGCCACACACCCAACCAACCACCAAATATTAATAAGATATTTTGAATACTGTATATTTTTACCATATAGACACACATACACATGTGTACACAGAAAGAGAGAATAAAAGTTATTGAAGTATAAATACTTGTCCAAAATTCCAATGCAGGGTTTGCATGGAATTTACAGATCCAGCCCAGATTAATCCAGTTTCATTCAGAATGTATTCATCTCTGTCTTTTTCATCTTCCATATAAACTGTGTCATCTACCGAAACAAAAGTCATTTTTGACATGCCAAAAACATTTTTCTGCTATATTCTGTCATTAAATGAAGCATTAAATAGATTGTTATACTAAAAAGGAAGAGTTCATTCTGTAGTTATAGGTAAGGTAAGTCTTGAAGATCACATCGTGTTTTACTCATAGCAGTATTTAATTAAATTTTCAATTAAAGCAGTTATATTATTCTGTATAAAATACCTACAGAATGTAACATAAAACAAAAGAAATATAAGCTATACATAAGCTATTATCACCACTTACAAATACGATATTCTGTTGTTATCATAACAGGAAGCATGTTCATTTAATGACATCGAGTAATGTTTACTGTTAACATAATGGAATGTCTCCTGAGTAAGTCTTGAAAATCACATTGTGTTTTATATTAAAGAAAAGATTATATGTTGTCTAATGCTGTGAAGTGAAAATTTGAGTAAAATTGAGACAAAGATCAAATAAAAAAATAGATTAAAGTAAATGTAAATCATAATTAATAATAAGTGTAAACAATGATTTATCTAATAAAAAATAAAACAAAATATTTCTGCTAGTAATTAAATAAGAGTAAAAACAAAGAGTACGCTACTATAAAATATTATGGAATGAAGTGATAAGTTATAGGTTAGATTTGCTCTTCTGCAAAGCTGTGACATTCTTGTAACCTGACAGTTAAAGCAACAAGACATTCCAAACAGAGTTTAATTCCTTTAGGACTCAAGAAAATGATATTTGTTTAGAATATTGAGGTATATTTTGATATCTTTGATATGCAAAACTAATTTTCTCATTTCCAAAGTGTTCATCATCAGAGTTTAACCTTTTACCACACTGCAGGCGACAACAGTCGCCATAGAATTCTCTCTCTTTGCTACTCTAGGTGCATTCTATTGCCTTGAGACAGTTGCTATAAGTAAACACTTGTCAATGTTATTTCTGGTATTTTAAGCTGGAAGTCGTCTACTTTTCCTTTGGAACAAGGCTACACTTCCATTTCCCAACGCCATTTTGAATTCTTCTAGACTTAACACAAGGTCTAACATAAACCACTTTAATTTTTTGGCAATTTTTCTGAACAAAAATGTCCGCATCAATATCCAATAAGGCCTTTATTCAGGAGTTTTTCTTTGTTTAGGACTCCAATGATGATTTTGAAGGCTTTACTCAAGTAGATATTGATGGTGAAGTGGTCGAAGATGATAACTACGCTAGTGACATGGAGTAAAGCAATGATGATCACTAGCAACTACTATCATTTGATGCTGACTAATTTCATGGAAGTTACTGGCGACAATCGATGTATTTGATAGCTTTTCTGAAGGTGAATTATTTTGTCTATTTATAAATGATGAAATAATAACTATATATCAATGAGACAAATAAATTATGAGTCAGGTGAAAGAAACAGCAAACAAATGCTAGTGTCTTCTTGTATGTAAACATAAGGAAATATGACGTCACACATTATGAAATGGACAAAGTCCGACAAGTTTTTAAAACATTTTATAAAAAATTCTATAAAAAGAATTTATAAACATAAAATGTCTTAAAATAAGGAAATATGTCACTTTTTTGACAAAATAAAAGCGTTTTTAGTGATTTTTGCTTCTTATTGCACCCCAGAACTCCACAACGAGTAATAAAAGTTAAAGTACCTTGTATTATTTATGTATTTTTTAATGTATTTGTTTTAATTTCACATTTCAATTTTTTTGGTTCCAACATCAAAACATGCATACAAAATGTAATGCGTTACACTAAAATATTACTCATTCATTCTTTTAGTGTACAAAAAATTAAATTTATATGCACAATACAAAGAAAGTTATAACAATTTTAAAACAGTAGATTTTCATGTTTTTGCACCCTCAAAAAAATGCAGTGGCAGAGGAAACAATTCTAGAAAGAAATTAGCATGGTAAAGGTTTAAATTTAACCTGGAACAGTTTGTCTTTCTGTTGCTCTGAAAGCATAAATCCATTTCTGCTCTTTACTACACATAAATAATAGGGATTTAGAGCTTTTTAAACTTGTAAAGCTGCAATCCAACCCTCTAAAAACATCACTTGTTACTGAAACTACTGTGATATCTTATGGTATGGTTATGGCCCTCCCTTTTTCTTCACAATGAAACTGCAGGAAGAAACCAAATATTGCATCTGTAGTACACTAGTGCATAACTAATTATTGTTAACAATGAAAAAACCCTGAAAATATCCTTGACTGAGGAAATGGCAGTTCATAAATATCTCAGGTGAAATATTTTTGTTTGGGAAAAGTCTTTAAAAATAGGTTGTGGAGGTGCATAGACACTGATGAAATAGGATAAATGTTTTCTAAAAAAAGGATTATTACTAATTTCTTATTTGTCTTTCTTTTCTCTTATTTTTGTTACTTATAGAACAAACTCATTACACAAGTGAATTGATCAATGAGAGGAACTTGTTAACCATTATGTTCTAGTTACACCAAGTCATAGTAACAAACAAAATAGACTTAGGTTGTCCAATTTTATTTTAGGTATAGCACTATCATTATTAACTTTTCACTAGTCTTTTATCTTTGTTGCTTTTTATCACAAGTCTCAGGTTGTTGTTGTTGTTGTTACATTTATTCTACAATTGTTAACATAAATAAGTATCAAAACCAAACAAGGAACACCCATATATATATATATATATATATATATATATATATAGATAGAGAAAGAGAGAGAGAAAGAAAAAGTGAGATAGGTTGTTGTTGTTACATTTATTCAACAATTGTTAACATAAATAAGTATCAGAATTAAAGAAGGGACATCCATATATATATATATATATATATATATATATATATAGAGAGAGAGAGAGAAAAAAAAGAGAGATAGATTGTTGTTGCTGTTGTTGTTACATTTATTCTACAATTGTTAACATAAATAAGTATCAGAACCAAAGAAGGGACACCTATATATATATATATATATATATATATATATATATATATATATATATATAAAGAGAGAGAGAAAGAAAAAAAAAGATTGCACCTACTGAAACTTACATAAAGCAATGTGATAGATGGATAAGAATATATGTGTGTGTGTGTGTGTGTGTGTCTCTCTCTCTCTTTATCTGTGTGTGTGTTTCACTAAAGACGACAGACAAGGTACTGCGATTAAGCTTTTTATTTAATTTTTCAAAGATGAACTCAAGTCAAGGGTTATGGCAGCATTCACCAACTTAAACAAGAACAAGGAGACCATCCAGAAAAAAATGCAAAAGATTCTGAAGAAGTCTGGAGGCTGTAGTTGAAGCCAGTGGCGATTTTATTGAATAAATTTACTCTTTAGTATTTCAAGATATTTTTGTGATATCTTTTGTTATATATATATATATATATATATATATATATATATATATATAGTCTCATAGTATTATGTTCTGTTCTTTCTTTTTCTTGTCCTCTTTTTAGAATTTTGACAATTCTCCTTGTTGATAATTTTAGCAATTATATTTAACCATAGCCAATAATTCTACAGTTGCTTTTTTTATCACAAGTCTCAGGTTGTTGTTGTAGCTGTTGTTGTTACATTTATTCTACAATTGTTAACATAAATAAGTAAGTATCAGAACAAAAGAAGGGACTCCCATATATATATATATATATATATATATATATATATATATATAGAGAGAGAGAGAGAGAGAGAGAAAAAAAAAAAAAAAGAGATAGGTTATTGTTGTTGCTGTTGTTGTTAAAGTTATTCTACAATTGTTAACATAAATAAGTATCAGAAACAAAGTAGGGACTCCCATCAATATTTGACATTCACATCACTTACTTTTTGTCTCATTAGCTTTAGTCAATATATGAATACTTACTATCGAACAATAGTTACCAAGTTCCTCTCATTGACCAATTTACTTGTGCAATGATTTTGGTCTTTATTGGTTGCCCTGTAGGTATAGCCTTGTGCCAGCCTAAATAAATAAATATATGCCTACTACCTGTAGCACAATTTTTAGCAAGCTCACAGATCAGTTCAATTCACACTAGGTGACCCACAAAGTAAATAAATTTATGGGCACCTCATTAGACACAATGGTTAGTAAGCTTGTCTCATAGACCAATTCAATGGTGTAATGAGTTCGATCCTCACCAGGTGGCCTACAAATGTAGTCTTTTGGCAGACTAAGTGAATAAATATATGACCCTCAACTGTAGGATAATGGTCAGCAGGCTTGTCTCAATGATTATTAGTGTAGTAAGTCATTGCTTGCTATATAAATGTGGCCCTGTGTTAGACACAGGTAAGATTGCATAGAGAGTTGATAATTGCATATTATGCAATGATAGCTAATGTCCAATCCCAGGTAAAAACCAAAATTCAAAATGCTGATTTTCAAGGCAAACATACCCTATTTGCAAAATTGGTAGAATTCAGTCTTTCTCTCTGCCAACCATTTGCCTTTGTATGACACTATTAATAATATCACTTACCTTTACACCAAGGGTTGAAGAGAACATAAATTTTATCTTGGAGTTGATATCGTTCAGGTGTGTCCTCAGGGTCATTGATATTCTTGGTTTCCAAATAAACTTTATAGACACCAACAAGGACATTTGCAGTAGGGGTTACCTCAATTTTAATGGTATTACCCTTCAGTTCCACATACTTAGCCTTCCACAATTGTCGAAATTCATTGCTTTCATATTTGGGAGGTGATAACACTGTCAGACGATTTATTGTATTTTTACTTTGCTGAGGTCGATTTCCTTAAAAATAAAGAAAATAATCCATAATTGACATCAACATTTTTATAAATTTTTGTAAAAATTTGTATCACAAGACATTGACTAAAACTGCAAATATTAAAAATTGAGAGTTTTATTCCACTATTTTTTTATTTATTTTTTTTTTCAGAATCATATATTTAGGCTTACAAGATGCACTTTTTTCCTAAAATATACCCTGAAAAATATGTGTGCATCTTCCAAGATGAATGTAAAGCAACACCCAGGCTCAAGTAAGCTTGGACAGTCACCTAATTGGCTTGACTGATAGGAAGATGGATTTATATGTGGAGTCATTACACTATAATGTTAGCTATCTATCTAATTCAGCCTTTCATATTTCATCTCTCAGTATTTAGCTGTTACAAGTATTTCCAAGACTATTGTAGAATCAGATTCCTACATTTTTTTTAAATCTTAAATTTTGTGCAAGTTAAACACATAGAGGCTCCCAACCAAATATAACAACTGATGTATTTTGATTCGTTGTAAAATATTAATTAGGTGTTGTCAACTACGTCCGAAGGTACCAACCCAAATTTTGACCTCTAGTTGACGCCATAAAATCTAAACATGTTCACGAGCCTCCCTACGTGACCAAGAGAACTAATAAAAATGAAACTTCAACGCGACTTGGTCAGTGGGCACTTAAAATATTGAAACCAATTCACTTGACTTCATTGGAAATCAACACAGCAAAGGAGACGAACTTTATCTTCAATACAACAACAAACCTTGTCAACCATTTCCAGGCTTAACGCTCAAACCCACAAAATATTCTATTCCACAAGAAGAATCTCTGGTTAATAAGCGATAACTCTATAACAATCAGTGAGTCAAGAACAATACTTTTTTCTATTTAATACAAAAACAACTGTTTAATATTTCCTATAAAAATAAATATAGTTAACTACACCTTCTCATTTTCACACATACAGTACAGTAACTCAAATTCTTTCAGTAACACACACCAAAGAACTCTATTGTGTTTATCAACTTTTGCACTATATATTATGTATTTGTTGTGTTTATAAAAAATATTTATTGTTGAACAAATTCACAATTTCTTCTACTTGATTATTTTGCTTGTTGTTGTCTTTGTTACATTTGATATTATAAAAATTGTAGAGGGTCAGTTTTTATTTCTATTTATAACCAATACAAATTGGCTGACCCACTATACTATAAACCTTCCTGGAGCCAAGCCACAAGCTTAAACATGCTTTGTTTACTAGCAGTAGTGGGAGCCTTTCTGCTCTTGAATAGTATGCCATTGCCATACAAACAAAATCAGACAAGTGATTAATATAAACAATATGTGGCGCCAGTATGTGAGGGACACACAGTGAATTTGTTGTTGTTTGAGAATGACTTTTTTTTTTAGAAATTTCTTTCCAGTATTAGGGTGCATCTTCCATGCCGCAGCATCTTGTAAGCTGGAAAATACGGTATTTACACAATATTATTTATATAAAATAATACTATTCAAGGTTGAAAAACATAAAAATTATGTCAAAGAAATAAACCCTGAATAACAAAAGTTAAGAAATGAGTTTGAAAGTATCAATGTCTACTAGCAATGATACTTGAAATCTGAAATTTCAACAGAAAAAGATCAGAAGGTCTAGTGCATGAAATGTGATATGAACAATGAAAACTATTAAATTGATCTGAAAGTATCAATGTATAACACTATTAATAGCATTAAATAAAAATATAAAATTCAATGAATTTTATCAAATGGCATTTTTACATCCTGAGAATGTAGAGGAGAATCAGGCCAACACAGAAAATATGACCTTCACTCAGGTGTGTAAAGTAAGAGTTGCAATCTCCTGAATAATCAACTGTTTGGAGAAGGCAGTCATTCAACAGAGATGGAATTACTGCTAAATTTACATGGCGTTTGTTGTGCTAAGTTATATGAGACTAGTGATGCTTGATCATCAGTGAATCACAGATGATCTATGGCTGTGCGGACAAGTAGATAAGGCTGACATTTTTCAGTGTCAGAGGTCAGATTGTGTTGAATATCAGGAGAGCACTTTGCAGTATTTTTTTTTCTTTTTCTACAGAGAGCATGGAAAACTGAATGGAAAATTAAAATCAAATAATTTGAATAAGACAAATTTTACATCTTGGATAGAAATACATGCTGTAATATCAGGGGGGTGTGTTATATTCAATGAGCCCTGTAAACCAACCAAAAATGATAAATTCATCATAAATAACAGAGAATAACCCCAAAGTGTGGGTCCCGAGGTATTTTTCTTCAGAGGAAATTTTATATTTTCCTTTCTTTTTTTTATTTATTTTAGTTCCAAAGTTACTTTTACATTGATGAAACCACATTTCATGTAAACCAGTACAATGCATATTATTTATTACTTGTCTAATGACCATCCAAACAGAATGGTATGATCTATAAATTATGATGTGGGTAGTGACATTTGAATATGGTCAAAATAATCATGTGTATGTATCTGTGTAATACCATATATGCGTATATATGGTACAAACATTCTATTAAAACATTTACCAACCTGTAACCAGCTGCAACAGGATCAAATCACGATCCGGCTGGATGTTTTGTTGAAATGTAAAACTCAAGTAAAATGGAGTCCCTCGACGAACTATCAAGTCTTTTTGTTCATATTCATCAGTATGATGTTTTTCTCGGTTGGACTTATTATGAAAATCAACTGATTGAACCTTTAGTGTTTCAGCTAAAGAAAGAAAAAAAAAGAAAGGTTAAATGTACAGTAACACTCTAATTTTCTTAGTTTTTTATGCAATTTAATATTATATTTTTTTATTAAAATAATTTTTGCACAATTCCAACATTTTGATTACTTTTTTTCTCATACAATTTTAATGTTGCTTTTATTAAAAATAATTTTTATAAAGATTAAATGCACAAGATACAAAAATAAAAAAAACAAAACTATCTTTTGAAGAAAGAAAACATCTAAATTAAATGTTTAAATACATTTAAATGGTTTTAAAATAATCAGAAATTAAATTAAGATTTAAGTTGTTTAAATATTTAAATGAAGTGCTTGAGGTTAATATACTTTTTGAAAAGTAAATAAGCATTTACAAAACCAATTGATTTTAGAATGTGATTTGGTGGCAACTTTTCAGCATTGTCTTATATGATCTCTCATTGATTTTCACGAGTATCATATTTTCTGGCTTACAAGACGCACTTTTTTTTCCTAAATAATATCCTTAAAAATACATGTGTATCTTCCAAGATGAATTTAAGGCAATGCCCAGGCTCAAGTAAGCGAGGACAATCACCTAATTGGCTTGACTGACAGGGACGTGGATTTGTATGTTGAGTCATTACACTATAATGTTAGCTATCTATCTAATTCAGCCTTTTATATGATGTAACCTCAGGACTTAGTTGTTACACATATTTCCAAGACTATAAATCTGTCTGGAGATGAATCACAAGCTTAAACATGCTCTGTTTACTAGCAGTGGCAAGAGCCCTTCTGCTCTTGACTAGTATGTCATTGCCATACAAACAAAATCGGATGAGTGACTAATGTAAACAATACATGGCACCAGTATGTGAGGGACACATGGTGAATGTGTTGCTGTATGAGAATGACTTTTTTTTTCTTAGAAATTTCTTTCCAATATTAGAGTGCGTCTTCCAAGCCAGAAAATAGGGTAGTAAACATTAGTATCAATTTTAACCGAGTAATTTATTTTCATCTGAACTTTTTACTTACTTATCCTGTGCACGCAGTGATACAGGTGACAGTCATTTGGGGTCAAGAGTCTTGGGACATGAACAAATCAGGGGAGGTGTTACAAAGGAGCTGTGTTTTGGGGACTCTCACATTAGGAGAGGTTTTTACAAAGGAGAGCTGTGTTTTGGGGGCTTGCACATTAGGGGAGGTGTTACAAAGGAGAGCTGTGTTTTGGGGGCTTGCACATTAGGGGAGGTGTTACAAAGGAGAGCTGTGTTTTGGGGGCTCTCACATTAGGGGAGCTAATACAAAGGAGAGCTGTGTTTTGGGGCTCACACATTAGGTGGGTGTTACAAAGGATTGCTGTGTTTTGGGAGCTCTCACATTAGGGTAGGTGTTACAAAGGAGTGCTGTGTTTTCGGGGCTCTCACATTCTATCTCATTATCATTCATTCGTCTCTGTCATTCTTATTTGGGACAAGATGATATACAGGTGATTGGGAAATCTAACACCTGTTGCTTTTGGTCTTTTGATGGATTAGGAATCACAATTAGAGTTAACATTGGCAGCGCAGCTTCTTCTCTTTTCATCACTGTTTTCTTTTCTTCAGCCATTCCTCTTCTGCTTTGGGTTGATGGCAGCAACATATGTTTCCTCTTCTCCTTGCACCTCCTGACCTCTAGCCAGATTATGAGAGGAAGCAGCAAAATAGTTAACTATAGTCATGCATACAAGTCTTCATTTCACTCTGAAATGAAGTTTCTCTTACTAATCTCTCTCTCTCTCATTCATGTTCTTACATTTTGCTTGCTTAGGCGATCATGTATCTTTCGATTCATGACTGACGAGGCAGATTTTTTTCCCATAGTAGATTGCCATTTCTTTCTGTAGTAGACCAGTTGCCATCCAAGGTTATAGAACCCATTCTGTTCTGTTATTTACCCATAGCTGGGAAGATCAGTTATGTGCCATGCATGATACGCACTTAGGTGATCATGTACCTTTTAATACATGACTGACGAGGCAGATTTTTTTTCCCACAGTAGGTTGCCGTTAGACTAGTTGATATCCAAGGTTATAGAACCTGGTCTGTCCTGCTATTTACCCATAGCTGTAGAAGAAGAGGATTCATACCTTTCCCAAGGATATTAGCACGTAAGTGAATGGATTCAACTGAAATTCGAATTCAGCTGTCCAATTCGAATTCCACTTGCAATTACCTTGCAAATTTGCTATGGAATTTTTTCTTGTAATACCAACTTGTTGCTTCCAGCACATCGGTTGATACACAACACAGTTATTTTGCCCAGGTCTTTATGTAGTTCTTCAGCTTCCAGCTTCTCTTGAGTTAAGTATCTGTGTGATTTCCTCTCATGTGCACTCATCTTGCTTGTTCATCATTTTTCTTGGTGTGGTGTTGGGGGAGCATTCATTTAGCAGAAAATGCTAAATTCAACGGTTGATTTAAAAACAAATCTTGAAGCTGGTCAACTCATACAGACACAATGGTAACAAAATTTTACTAAATCATCCATGGGATATATATACTTGGGTTGCTCTGAAAGTAATGCCTCCAAATTTACAACTTTTATCTATGACATCAGAGGCATATATTAGTGGTACAGTAATAGAGGTTGAGTCTTCCTACTAATAACCCATATTTTTTTTTTTGGCTTTGTTACAAAAATCCGTCTGGCAAAATGGCATCTGAGAAGTGAGCTGCAAAAGGAAATTCTCACCACTCTTTCATACATTCTGAATTGTTTTTCACTATCCGAGGATGGCTTGCTTGACTTTAGAAATATCCCCTTCAAGTGGTACTCTCTAATATAATTGCAATTTTCAAGTGGTGCTCAGAGCTTATACTATATTTGCTACTGGTTACTTACCATATTTCGATTTGGAGTTTTGCAAATTAGCATCCTTCTTTTGAAATTCTTCATCAGAAATTTTTTCCTTTAGTGTTTGCTGCGGCCTTTGCCCCCTTAAATATCAAGAAAGTAATTTAGGATTAAAAACACAATAAAATCAACTTATTCACTAAAAAAGTTAAAAGTATTAGTAATTCTTAAAGTCTGTTTAGTCTGACATAAAGTCACAAGTGTGAGACTTCCAGAATTTCAGAGTTTGTTTTTTTTTTTTTTTATCAGAAAACATATTCTGGTTCTTCTTTTATTTTTATGTGCCATGTCCCTTCAGAATGTAGGCACTCCACTTCCCCCTATCCCTTGTAGCTCTCAATAATTGTCCCTTTGCTACTTCCCCCAGGCCCTGTTTTGTCATCCTCTTGCTTAAGCCCATTAGTTATGTCATGTGTTGCTTTCCCTTGCTTCTCTTTCCCTCTATCCACCCTGTGAGTATCAGATTCTCCAAGCCCTTCTTTTTCATTACGTGTCCCAGAAATTTCATCTGCCTCTTCCTGATGTTACGTATAAGCTTCCTCCTTGTTTACATCCTCTTTAAAACCTCATTGTTGCTCACACACTTGGTCCATAATATCCTTAGAATCCTTCTGTAGAACCATACCTCTGTTGCTTTGAGTCTCTTCTTCATCTTTGAAGAGACCGTCCAGCATTCGCTGCCATAAAGGAGGACAGATGTCACATAGCAGCTCAGTACTCTTTTCTTTGTTAGCAAAGAAATCCTCCTGTCTTTTAATACTCTGCCTAGCTTTTGGAATGCATCTTTCACCATCCTTCAGACCTCAACGTTGTATTTACTGTCCTCTGTCAAATATCCTGGACAGAGAATTTTTTATAACTGTTGGATCTAAGATCTATTACAAAGTGAACTCTCAAATGAGATGGAATCATTCCTAGATTGAATAATAATGGAAATAGATTAAAATCAATATTCAACATGACCTGAACAATTCAAACAAGTAAGAATTTGAGTGGTTTAACCTATGTCAAATACAGAACCTACAGCGGTAGATCATGGTATGAGTTACAACAATGTCCATGATCAGACTGTGAAAGCAATTGTCAATAGCAGTGAATGCCAGTTTAGTATCTCTGAGGAGACAGTGCTGAAAAAAAAAATGTCTCAATTTTGCTACCACCATCAAGTGGATCTCAGTGGAGGAGGCAGCAATGAAGATTCCTAAAGCTTGAGATGACAACCTAAGATGAAAAGGCTCTTAAATCAAATATCGTAAGAAAGGAAAAAATGACAGTGCAATACAAAAATCATCCTCCTGGGCAACAGACAAGAGCAACACAGTGTTGGTGATGGATAAGTTAAAATAAAAATGACTAACCTTCATGGGAATGTTAACTACAACCAGGTAAAGAAAAATTCAACCACAACCAAGATGAAGTTCTGTCTATATCTCTCAGGTGAGGTATTATGATTACTTGCATTATTTACATTATTATTCTGACTGTTATCCTCATCTTCATTTCCATATTCACAACGTTTCGGCCATTGTATGCTGCAGCTTCCTTCAGGTGATTGGAATTTCAAACTGAACCCTTTATTTTGTCCACCATGCCATGAGTCTAAATGTCTCAGTTATTTCCCTTTAATTCAACACCCCAAGTTTTGGTATTGAACTCACAACTCTTTGGGCCTAGTCACTGAATCTAAACAACATCTTTATCCTCTGGGCCATTTGGATTTGTGGCACGGTGGACAAAATAAAGGGTTCGGTTCATAATTCCAATCACCTGACAAAAACTGGAGCATGGTAATGAGTGGATAACAGTTTGAATAATGTAAAAAATGCAAGATGAAGTTGTTACAGTTCCTGAGAAAGAACGAAGATGGACAATTGACTCATTGTTACAGTAACCAACCACACATATAGCCTTCCCCAAATGACAAAGACAGTATTACATATAGATTCCTTGTAGGTATAAACCATCCACTAACAGGTAAGACTGTCCTATGCAAAGAATTCTGCCTACTTTGTGGAAACCATTGAAGATGCTCCCACTCATACAAACTGGGTAGTAAACTTAGTTGTGAACTTATTCACCACTCTGTTGATGCTTCAAAACAAGTTATAATTACTGCATATACTTGTGTATAAGTAGACTTCTTATAGAGAGCGACCCCAAATTTTGTATGAAAAAAATTACCTATGTATAGTGCAACTGGTCACTGAAAAATGCATGAATTTTAACCTCTTCAAAAAAAATTAACTGTATATAGTGCAACCCTCTATCTTTTATGTAAAAAAAAAAAATGATCATAAAAACTTGCACTATAGTTGAATGTATACAGTAGACCTTCTCTAGAAGTGTGTACAAGTGTCTCAATAGATAACCTGATGTAGATGTTGACATTCAGTATATGTCCAGTTGGGATCTGCCATAGACCAGCAAGAAAAAAGCTTAGCTATGAAATCCCCATTATTTCCAGTAATGGAAATAGCTATAGAAACATGACTACAAACACAAATCATGTGGCTCAGATATGTGAACAACACCTTCATGCACTAGCCTCATCAGGAAGATGTGCAAATACGGCTGGACCATCTGAACTCAATAAGATATTCCATTTAATGTGTAATGGAAAAAGAAGCAGAAAATCAATTAGAGTCTCTGGATGCATTACTAAATTTCACAGAGTATGGATTCAAGACATCTGAATATCATATATCAAGATTTCCCCATCTATACAGTACCAAGAAAGGTACTATCTGTTGAAGTTTCTCTTACTAATCTCTCTCTCTCTCTCTCATTCATGTTCTTACATTTTGCTTGTTTTCACAATTCACTTATGTGCTATGCATGACACATGCTTAGGCGATCATGTATCTTTCGATTCATGACTGACGAGGCAGATTTTTTTCCCATAGTAGATTGCCATTTCTTTCTGTAGTAGACCAGTTGCCATCCAAGAACCCATTCTGTTCTGTTATTTACCCATAGCTGGGAAGATGTGCAAAGACATAAATGGCAACCCAAACATTTAAGTACGGCACAAGGCCACAAAAAAGAGACACCCAATGAAGATTAGACCCCCCTACTTAATCATAATGATCTATATGACCAGCTTCCTAACCATTATATTAGAACAAATTTTAATATTACCTCTTTTGTATAATAAAGAGTGTTTCTTTAAGATGGATCATATATAAGGGTGTTTCATTAAGATGGATCAAAATCAGCAGTAAATAAATCAGTGTCATTAGTGAAAATTTATTTATTTCTCTATTGGATCATATTATTTACATCATGACAATTATGTGTGAAAATCGCCCAAATGTCTGCCAAATCTGAAAGAAAAAGAAAAAAAATCATTAAACGCTTAAACTTAATTCATATATAAAATCGGTCCAAGTTATTGGAACCGCCTTTACCTGTTATATTTGCCTATTTTTCTTTTGATTATTTTGAAAATTTACAGAATCTTTCTTTGTCTTATCAATAACTTTATATTGGTACATTTCAAAACTGATAATTGTCATTTGCTTTTTTAAATCTGAGTTATCTTAAAGCAAACTGGTCAAAGGTGAGCCAAAATTGGAAATTTCAAAATTACACTTACTGTGTTTATATGTTTATATTATGATTTTTAATAACATTTAAACCTATTTATGAAAAAATACATACAAATACAATTGTTACTGTTACCTCCAGTTTGAAGTATATAAGACTTGCCCACTTTCTGCACAAAGACAGCCACCAAACAGTCTGCAGTGGATGAGGTGGTTACGTCACCCAACCTCCAGAATCTTGATGGACCCTTGCTATTACTCATTCATATCTTGCATGACACTATGTGGACATTCAGCATCAGATAGCCTCAAATTTTTTCATTATTTGGCTATGGACTTATTGATATAGATATATAAAATTTAACCAAGTTATTAATTTGATAGAAATGTTTTTGTTTCACTAATCCTATAAATATTTATATACTTGTTTAAAAACACAAACAGTCATTTGGTACCAACAAATTTTATTGAAAAGCTTCATTGATTCTTAGGCTATGGACTTCTTGATGTGCCTATATAATAAAGATTAGCAAAATTATTGATTATTTAGAGATTCTTTTGTTTGATCAAACTAACCCATTTGAATGAGAAATGAATAAAGAATAGGAGACATCTGCAACCTAGAAATTTGATGTCATGCATTGTTGATAATCTGTTGATGTTTTACCTATCAGTAAGTCAATAGTTATTTATATCAGCTTCAAGGATTGTGTCTGGGTCAGCATGTTCTACATAAGAATGATATACTAGAGCACTCCCATTATTTAGAGTCCGAGTGATGACTTTTCACAGTTTTATCCAACTAGTATTAAGCTGCCTTAAAATGCTACATTTCAACCTTGGTCTTGCAAGTACAAAATATTTTTTTCTTAGTGTAGGAAGATTATGTTGTGCCAAATGGCAACAAACTACTTTCCCTCAAGATCTTTGCCAAAATATAGAATATTAATTTTTACCTCTACAAATTGTATTTTATTCTAAGAGTCAAATTGTTTTCTTGTTAATGTTAACAATTTTTTTTTTTTTTAAATGACTGGCCACTCATATCCGAGGATGGCTGTCTACCAGAATGGCTAATCAATCTCTGTTGCAGACGCCTGCTCAGGCACATTTGTGTTTGTTCAACACACGCAGAGCTCACCTGTGGTTTATACTGCAACTATGCTGAGTGGACCTTGGTTAGTTTCTGGGAGACAGCGTGTTATCTGGCTTGATCAACTGCCTGAACAAAGCCAGTATACTCAAACCCTCGGTCACGATGACCTTTGACTTCATGCTAGCACAACCATTGGTAGCTTCCTTAGAATAGAATTCTCCTTTTTTTCTCAACAAATGAATGTTTTCTATTTAATCTTAAAGTTTTACCCCCCAAACATATTGATATTAATTTTAAAGTATATTTATTGCACAATAGTTTCATTGCCTGCTGATATATTTTTTCTCAAAATTGGAAAATCATCTGACCAACCATGTGCAACAGAAATCAGGTTTCAGTAACCGATAAACAATAGCTCAACATAACACTGGATCGTTATCCA